CAAGCTATTGCTGTGCATTCGAGTTTAATGTGGGTAAAGGCGAGGTGAGGCGCTCAGGGGTTGGCCGCCATGGTTGCTCGGATCCAGGTAACGTATGAAATCACTCGGGTGTAGACAGCTGGCGCTCCGGATTTGCCACATGGGAAGCGACCCGAAGACAGGATACCCTGCAACACGCCTTTGCAGACCAGTGGGCCTCCCGAGTCACCCTAAGAGCACAAGGGGAAGCATCAGAAAGGTCAGCAAGACTCAGGTCAGGCCTGATGACCCCCCTCAGACCTGGACGTGTAGTGCACACACAGCAGCTGCCCAGCTCTGGGGAGAGACACTTGCCTCCAGAGTCCAGCCCCACAAGAAGGTAGGCAGGGAGTCCCAGCGAGGGGACAGGGGCTAGAGTTCTGCCCAATGGGGATGGAGGCACTTGGATGTCCAGGAGTCGGTCCCCGCAGACAGGTCAGTCGGAGGATGGGCAGGATCCGTCTACACCAGCCCTCACCCTCAGTTCTTATCTCAGATGCCAGCTCTCCCAGGAAGTTTGCCATAAATGGACACCACCCCCTAGAAGCACTGGGGAACCACAGAAGAACTGAGCAGGGGAGGGGTAGGGTCAGTTCTGAGAGTGAATGACCCACTGGGATCAGGTGGGGGTTGGGCTGAAGAGCAGGTACTGAAGGCTGGGAGAGGATCCAGGTGTGCATGGACAAGGACTGATCTGGGGTTGGGCAGTGGAATGGAAAGTAGGGACAATTAGGGAGCTGGGGTTGGGGGTGGGGGCAGGAGGAACCAAGCTTTGGGATTGATTCACAGTGGGAAGGGAGAGGGATGGGAGGTTCAGTAGCTGGGGGGCTGGGGAACCTGGGGTGAAGGAGGAGAGGATTTGGGGGAAGCCACTGGACTCATCTTGGACCTGGTTCTCACCAGGATGATGTGTAGGTGGGGGTGCATCTGTGTGCATGGTGGAGGGGTACGTGTGTGTGTGTGTGTGTGTGTGTGTGTGTGTGTGTGGTGCACGTGTGGTATGTGTGGGTGGGTGTGCATCTGTGTGTGTGGTGGAGGGGTACGTGTGTGTGGTGGGTGAATGTGTGTGTGTGTGTGTGTGTGTGGTGCAGTGAGCTGTCTCCTTGGACATGCTCAGCAGTCACTGAGGACAACAGCTTGGGAGGGTCCTTGACTCCTCTCTGCCTCTCGCTCCTCACTTGCTATCAGTCAGCATAACCTGCAGACTCTCTTTCACACATCTGGAGAATGGGACCCTTCTGCCTTCCCTGCCACCA